TGGATATAACATAAAACGCTTAGCTTCATTTGGTTAAATAAAATCAATGGGAAAGAACTTTTTTACAATCTAGTTAAATAGAAAAAGAAAGGATCGTATTTTTATTTTGTGTTTCTATTTTATCCAACAACTTCATTGATATTATTTTTATCATCCAACAACTTCATCGATATTTGAAGACCAACAACATTCAAAAAATTACAGTCCAACAATAATTTTATCCTTGATATGGTTTTAATTAACTTGACTTTCATTTCTATTTGTTTTCCATCATATATAAATTAAATAAATAATAGTTTGCATTAATTGAAAACTTCATCATTTTTTTCTATACATTATTGTTAATTAAATTTTATTTTATTTTTATTATTTTTATAAAATAAGTGCATTTTAGGTATCTAAATTATAATATGATATTTTTCTACAATTTTTTTGAATAAATTTTCTTCCTAATCAAATACATACTAAAAAATCAATTTTTTTTTTTTTTTTTTTTTTCATTCACTTCACTTTTCTTTTCATTTATTTTATTTTCTCACTATTTTTATCTAACCAAATTGTGCTTAGAGTATTGGAAATTACCTTCTAAAAGAGAATATATTCGGTGTGCCCAGTGCATCGTGCACCAGCCAATTAGAGCTGTCCGTTCTCGCGAGTGTTGTGCACGGACTGCTCTAATTAAACCAGGCACACCGAATACCTTCTCCTTCTAAAGTTTGATCAACATGTTTCTAAAAGCACTCTCTCTCTCTCTAAGGAAATGTGTTTCATTGGAAATTATATTTAGGCATCAAATGCAGTAGCCTAATGATACTTTCTCTATCATTTGAAGTGGAAGGTCAATGGTTCAAGTTTCCAAAAGAACATATAGATGAACAGGGACAGATCTAAAAATTCATAAGAAGGGGGGGGATTTTTTTTTTTATAATTTTAGTGGGGCAATTTTAAAATTTTATGGGCATAAATGTAAAAGAATACAAATTTAAGGGTGTCAATTAAAATAACAAAAATTTCAGTGGAGGCGGATGACACCACTAAGCCCACAATAAATCCATGCATGTAGGTGAATGAGTTTTTTGCCACAATAAAAAAAAAAATTAAAAATTAAAAATTCCATTTAAAAGAATAAATTTAACTTTTTAATGTACATTGCTAGCAAATTTTTTATCTGGTGATGATTCATTAACAAATTTTTTATTTGTTGTATCCAATTTGCCTTTTAATTTTTTTTCCCAATCCACCTATATACATATATATATATTCACATGATTTAATTCATCTTATTGCCCCTCACAATAGTATTTTAGCTCACACTCGTAACATTTTTTTTTAGCCTCACAATAGTATTTTAGCTCACACTCATAACCTTCTTTTTTTCAAAAAAAAAATGTTAATAGCTAGGTATGTGCATAGACTTTGTCACCAACATGTAGATCTTATTCATTTCTATCCAAAAGAGATATTTATAGTTTAAGGAAGACAAACTCGTTAATCAAATGAAATTTAAGTAAAAAATAAATAAACCCTATAAACAAAAAAAATGGTTTATAGCAAAAAAAAAAAAAAATAACCATAAGGACAATACAGTAATATTTTTTCTTTTTAGCAAGAAAGAGGTAGTGTGGCATAGACAAGTATAAGGGGCTAGAACAGAGTACAAATATAGGTAGGTAGGTAGGTAGGGGTCCAAAAATTAAATAATGGGGCTGGTGGGATACGAATGTGTGGCCTAGAAATGGAACACTAGAATTTCAACGCCCTCATCCCAATATTCTACTACTAGAAGATAAGAATGGGGGTGGACCCTAGTGTCTCTTGTCCTTTCACAACAAGTGATCAGTTGGGATCAAAAGAATGACTTGGATTATTGCAAAAGTGTTGTTTACCTTACGTGTGATACTTTTTAGTTTAATTTGTCCAATACTCCACTTTTAGTGCTTTCCATCATCTATATATATATATATATGTGTGCGCGCGCGCGCTGTTCTCTTGGCATGTTGTTGTTTGTATATGTTCAAGAATTAAACTAAAAGAACTTAAGCCAGTCATGTATATTTAAAAATTCAGCGCAAGTGTGTGTGTGTGTGTATGCATGAGTTTATGACACTTGATGTTTCACGTCCAAGTGTAGATGTATGCAAACTTTGCTAGTGTACTGGTTTATGGTTCAGATATATAAATTAACCATTTATATATATATACGCATCAAAATTCCCAGATAGCAATGAAGACATGCAGTAAGTTGGTGAAGAATATTATGATCGATGGTGACCATGACATATATATGTATATATATTCCATGGATTGCTAGCTATAACATTCATGGTTTCACATTCAGATGGTGAACCAAGTCTTAATCAGTATATTCTATTTAAGCTGATCAATTCATGGATATATTTGAATCCAACTACCATGCCAATTTAGAGGTTCTAAATCCATATATCAGTTAATGTTGTGCCCAATGCTTCAATCTGTGGATGAAAACTCTCAGATGTAATGATCAATTTCTCTATTGCATATTAATATGAAAGCGATTTGATCTGTTAAACATACCAATCTTTGCTTCTTTCACAATTTAAGATCATATATATCATATGTATATCACCATGCAATAACTGTTATCAACCAGATACTAATATAAACCACAAGTTTTGTCAACTAATTCTGCAGATTTTGTTGGTCGTCCATCAAACCATCATTGTGTGGTCCTTCTGCAAATTTAAACCCTTAACCTTCTACTTTTAAGAGCGAGTAAATTGGAGTCGACCATAATCGAACAAAGAAATAGTAAGTGGTCAATATGTAAACTGTGAAGTAACAAAGTAAGCAAGTGATCAATAGTTTCATTAAAATCATTATATATAATACAGTGGCCGGCCAAATGGAACACTGTTTTCTTGGTTATGATCTCTGAACCTATATGATATATATAAATGAAGTCCTGATACAGTGATTTGCATTTTACAGTACATATATTAATTGTTTATTATTGATTTTAAAATTAAGCATTGAAAATTTTCAGTACTAATTAATTGTAATGCTGAAAGTTCAAACAAAGAAATATTTCAACGAATGTGCCAATTAATATTCAGTGATTAGTTGTCTCTCTAGCTTAAACAACTTCAATATGATTCAAATTTTATGTAAACTGAGAGTTATGCCAACTTAGATAATATATTATTAATTTATTAATCTCATTTGGTAGAGAAGAGATATTTATGACATTTTTTATTTATTTATGAATTGACATGGTGAGCACATCATGAAATTATTTCATGATTTGAATTTTGAATGATACGCGACTCTTTTTCATGGGCCAAATTATATATCTCTGTGTGTGCACGCGCACCCGTGGTTGTTTATATTTCCTCGCATGTAAAATTTCCATTTTTTCCTGAAGTCCAAAACAGAGTAATTAAAAAAGTGAACAAAAGAATGATTCAATACAAACTCTTTTTTTATATAGTGGGCATTTTTTTTTTTTTTTTTTTTTTTTAATTTCAGTAGGTTATCTTTACAAATTCTAAAAAAAAAAAATAATAATTCAGGCGAATTGTAATTTTAGTAGGGTATTTTCATAAATTTTCAAAAAATTGAAGTATAAAATGTAAAATAAGAATTCTAATGGAGTGAATTATAATTTTAGTAAGGGCATATTCATAAATTTTCAAAAATTTAAAATATAAAATGTCAAAAAAAAAAAAAAAATGGTGCCTCCACTAGTCCTATTGTGAGTCCGTACCTGATTATAGGCTATTATTGTGTTGGTGTGATTTCCGTTGAGAGACAATGAATAAGAATAATCTCATCCTTTTATTTTTTACGCGTATATAAAAGGGATTATTACAAATAAATGGTGTTCATGATTGGAGTCAAAATCTCACAATTTCGAAAAATGAAATTGACTAAAATACTGACATAGACTGAAAAAACACTGTTTATATGTACCACTTTTTGTGCATCAGGTACTATTTTTGTTTTGGGCATAGAAGTATCACTTTTTGTGGGCACATGCACCACTTTTTATGCATCAGGTAGTATTTTTTTGTTCAACACAATAAGTGATACTTTAATGACAAAAAATAGTACCTGCATGTACAAAAAGTGATACATATGAATCTGAAAGTGATATGGGAGTAAACAGTATTTTTTTATATCTTTATTTTTTCAAAATTATGAGACTTTCACTGTATAAAATAATAAATATGAGTCATATATTGACACCATTTATAAATAATCCCCGTATAAAAACTAAATTACAAAAATTATACTTTAAGTAAGAGGGTACATCACGAGAAATCAAAATCCTTTATTTGATATCACGTGGTAACAATGATACTAAAGTTCTCTCTAAATTAGTATATATCCTTTATACCTTTCCTTTATTTCTTTTTCACTTACCTAAGAAAGAAAGTGTGATATTCTTGAAATTAAATGAAAATTTTCTAGTGGATGGAGGATCATGACCCATGAGCTGGCCATGCCCACATACCATGCCTTAACCACATGCCATGTAACCCACCCAAAATTCAATCAATTTAAAATCGGGCCCCACTTATCTCAACCCACATGCCCATGCCATGCTAACCGACGACACAATGTAGGACCCACTCACGTGCTCTCCACCCTTTCCGTCCCCAGATCCAACGCTCCGGATCTCACTCGCCTAACCCTAAAACCATCTCAACCGTCCATCAAGTAGACCACAGTGTTCAATACGAGCGGTTGTGTATGTCCCACCTTTGTCCCCTCACTGCACTACAGTGGGCCCACATGTGCCGGTCATACGAGGGACACCAATAGTTGTAAATGCCCAAAACGGAATAGTTTCACCCCACGTACTGTAATAGCTGTCCCCCACGCGTCGGTGTCTCATTGGTCATTCAGCTAGGGCGTGTCAGACAGCGTGTGGGGTTATCAAATAGTGGTATGAAATTCATGCACGAACAGAATAACCTACCTGGATACTGTCCCTTCCTAATAACTCTATAAAACTCCTATGCGCCCATCCATACCCACCTCACAACTCACAAACACAAATTCTCAACTCTCTCTTGTAGCCGGAATCTCGCCGGAAACTTCATCGGAACCCGACTCACGTCGTCTAAACAAGTTTTTAGACAAAGGTGGTGGTGATCATTTTGTTTTAAGTGTGCCAAGCGTTTCTTCAACAAAAAGAAGTGGTCATTTGTTCATATATCATCTAAGAAGATGGAAATGGAAAGGCCAACGATGACTTATGAGAGCAACCTTGATCTCAAGGCAACTGAGCTTAGGTTAGGGCTGCCCGGGAGCGATGCGCCGGAGAAACAGTCTTGCCCTAGTGTTAAGAGTAACAAAAGAGCCTCACCAGAGATGGATAATGCCAGAGATGCTAAAAATGGTGGTCAAGATTGTGCCCCTCCTGCCAAGTAAGTCATCTTCTACCTACGTGTTAGATCACTGATTATAAACAAATTATGTATAAACAAATCCTTACAAGCCCGTTTGGATTTAGAGTCTATTTGTACTTCAATTCTTTAGATCGAGTTCGAGGTCTCGTAGATTATTTGTTAAAGAATAGAAAAGATAATTACATATAAACTTTTTACATAAATACGACCTCTTGTATTAACTTTGTTAATGTTAATGAAATAATAGGGCACAAGTAGTTGGATGGCCACCGGTCAGATCTTACCGGAAAAATTGTTTCCAACCCAAGAAAAACGATGCCGACGCAGCCGGAATGTATGTGAAAGTGAGCATGGATGGAGCTCCTTATCTAAGAAAGATTGATCTGAAGTTCTACAAGAACTACGCTGAGCTACTCAAGGCTTTAGAAACCATGTTCAAGTGCACTTTTGGTAAGGACACATATTTCTTGTATTATATATGTTGATGCTTGTGTTAGTGGTGTTAATTTGTACTGGTCATATATGGATGGATCCAATTAATGTTTTTGTTTCTACAAAAATTCAGGTGTGTACTCAGAGAGGGAAGGATACAATGGATCTGAATTTGCACCAACTTATGAAGACAAAGATGGTGATTGGATGCTGGTTGGAGATGTTCCATGGGAAATGTTTATAACCTCATGCAAGAGGATGAGAATCATGAAAGGATCAGAAGCTAAAGGCTTGGGATGTCTATAGATCTAAATCCCAAACCAAAGTGTTTATATGGAGATTAATTTGTATGAAAAGATTCAAATTTTCATGACCAAGAAAATCTTCAGCCTGGGTTGTCCATGAAGTTTTTGGTACTCTCAAAGGTTAGAACACAAAAACAACACAGATCAATCGGTTCGATCGCGCGATATGTTCATGGATGGATGCTCTGCCCTAGCCTTTCTGTGATTTTAGGTTTTCAACAATCCATCAAAACAGAAAGTACTGCATGGAATTGGGGATATTAATTTGGTTTAGGTCTGTCTGTATAAATGAAAATATGCTTATCAAACATTTTTCCCTAGATCATTTTGTTGTGTATTGAGAAAATACAGGGTCATTTATACAAAATTGTAAAGCTATATATGATGTTCTATGTTATACAAGTAGAGCTTGTTTCCTTGCTAGCCATGAATCTAAGATTCTTGTTCTTTGCAATAATGTGTCAGTGGTGCAGATTTTCCAAATATTTAAGTTAAACATGGAATAAAGGAACAAAGCCTACAACATACGTGTGGTCCAAGTTCATCTTAACCACCTTAAAAATTGGGGTCCAAAAACATGTATATGTAGTACGACTGCATTCCATAACCTTAGATTTGTGTTTTATTGAAGTTTATTTGTTTTCGTGTTTTCCCAACTGCAATTCTCATGACAAACAACAGCGTCAGCTTAGATACACAATCGAGATCCAAAGTTTGCATCTCAATTGAAAGATGACAATACCTTTGAATAAAATTCTTACCTAGTATAAATAAATCCCAAACTATTGTGGGGTACTGTTTTGACATAGGAATTCTAGCTACAGATCACAAATATCTGCACAGACCAATCCCGAAATTAGATGACAGGAAAACTCAAATCAGTCGAAGACGACGAGTGACGTTAAGAATCAACCACCACATAGCCTAACCACAGTAATTTCACAACACAGAAACTACTAATAAACCCGGTGAAAAGACCAGGTAAAGAACACGACAGTAAAGCAATTTCAATCTAATTTGTGTCCATTTTAAAAGCAATCCATCCAAGAACAGAGCTTAGGGAGGAGGTGCTACATAGTCGACACAGAGCTGTACATTTGAAGACATTTGTAGAGCATATAGATATCTATAAATAGGTGAATTTCATTTCGAACAATAAGCTGGAAGAGAGACATCAAGAGTATCACCACCTAATCTCATCAGAAAGAAATGATGTTCTAAGTTACAGATGTTCTAATTTGCAGAGAAAATTGGATCGAAAATATTGTGATAAAAAAAAAAATATATGAATTTGCGGTGAGACTGGGTTGAAATCAGGATCAGAAAGAAAAAATACTTCAATTCAAATAAAGAAAGTTCTGTTTGACAAACAGAATTGGGTGAAAGATTGTGATTTTACCTCAAATCTATCCTCACGACTCCCTGAAAATTGTTTTCCCTCCTATTTTAAAGTTCCGTATCCCGTACAACACATAAACAGTAGCATTATCCACCCGTACAAGTCTCGCAATTAGTTTCATACCAATTAACTTCTACATTAGGTTCAACACATAGCGAATAACTTCTTAAAACAGTAAACGATTAGTAGTATCAAACAATGATGAATGAGCAAAACAATCTATTGCCTATATAATTATGCTATGAATAAGCATAGGACTTTACAGCTGATATTATATGTGGGATGCATAAACGAAGGTTGCAGAATCCCCATACATATGTTGTTGTAAACAGAGACAGCTAAACTGTGTTTGCAATGAAAATTTTGACCAAATCAATAGCATAATAGCCATTTAAAGCTATATATGCCCCTCTCAGATTCTCATATATTTTCTGCAATAATTTCTCTTGCATCTTAGATGATAACTAGACTAAATAGAGTACCTAATTTGCTATCATCCATTCTGTCAATCAGCTTTGCAAGCTGTTAAAAAGGTACGTAATCATCAATAGCCATCATTTTTTCGTTCATTTCGCCAATTTGCGCATGAAAAGACTCCACTTTTGCATCTAGTATTGCCAATTGAGACTTAACCCACTGCGGATTGTTCCTACCTTCAACCCACAATGCTTCCTTGGTGTCTTTGTGCTTGAAATCTGGGTACTTTGGGTTTCTCTGTAAAGTGCATTAACAGCAACAAATTAACATTTGACAGATAAACATGATTACTAATGACAATTAAAATAAGACAGCAACTAAAATCAAAACAATATTTTAAGTTCATGCATGGGAACTTTAGTCATGAATCTTTCAGATCTATCCATCAAAAGATGTATCATGGCTTTATTTTATTTTCTAAGTCACTGAACATTATTTTCATTCAGCATAACTTACTACTAGGTCCATGAATCTAAACAATGTGCAAGTAAAATGCCCAGGCACAAGTACGCTATAACACAAACTCACACCAGATGTAACTTCGCTTTATATGATACCAATGCTATACTACAACACTACAATAATTTACATTCATACGATTTATTAACTGATTAGACTACCTTGGTGTTCCTATTATCCCACCAATCAAGCGGATTAGCAAAGAAGGCTTGCCATAGTTCTTCTGTTGTGCCCGTACTGTTTGGAGCATATTTGCTTAGTGTTCTACCTGCAAGGGAAGGAAATAAAAGATTGAAGGAATGTTCCAAATAATATCAAGAACTGCTCTGAAAAAGTATTTCGGAGAAAATTATTGCCTGGTGTAACAGAATTAGAATCCCCATCATACAAGGCCACTGCTGATGAGAAGTTCCTTTCAACAAAATTCAGTTTCTGAACAACTACCTGCCAAAGATTAGAGACAATCACAAAATTTTCCAGTATAACTTTTAGAATATAAGACAGTAACATGTGAGACCTAAGAAATTTTAAAACCTTATAGTAGGTCTGTTGCTTCCCATCATCATTTTCAACTGTGTCTGTAACCAGCCGGCCAGAAATATATATTTGTTGGCCTTTCTCTACGTGTTCAAAAGCAACATGAGCCAACTCGTCCCAGAATGTCAAATTGATCCTGAAGAACATTAACTGAAACTCTTGAAAAATGTTTATGACATTCAATATAGTACCAATAAACAATAATAGAATTGATGAGACAACTGGTTGGCTATATCACAATTAAATAGAGGAAGCTAAATAAAAAGATATGCAAGAGAATTGAGGAAATGGTCAATTTTCATTTCAACAACTTTTGAGGCAAGAGTTGTCATTCTTATACGACTGGCACGGACGAGAAAAAGGGAGCGATAAACAGTCCATTAAGTAATTTTTTTATGTACATTCTTTAGGGATACACATCAGCTTGGTCAATTTCCTTGCAATCTTTTTCTTGAGACCTGTGAAATCACAGAATTTTGAGTTTATATTTGGCTCTGTTCACAATTTGCCCTTTTACAACTATTAGACAACATGACACACGATGTACATACAGTACCTAAAATAGCTACAGTGGTGGAGGAAGTGTAATTGGGGTAAAGCAATACATAATTTCTTTAACATTTTTTTTTCCTTGGCATGAAACTCACACACCCCGTTGTCCCTTATGGGGACTTGAACTGTCACCTTTCATTTTGGGAGGTAGAGGGGATACCACTGGGCTAAGCTCTTGGTGGTTAATTTCTAAACATTCATTTCCATGAAGATGAGTAGTTTATAGTGTCAAAACTGCATCCTCTTATTTTTTCAACATGCACTCATTTTCACTCATTCTCTCTCAATTATTTAAGGACAGTTTCAAAGCAACCCCTTGTCTCTAACTCACACTCAGAATTGATTGATCACAAACACCTAAAACACAGTCAAAACAAATAAAATGAATGGCTTAGTACATAGTTCCTACAATGCACTAAGCCAATCATATGAATCCTCATTAGCAAGTGAAATTGAGAACCCACAAATTGGTGAAGTACCCATTAATCACAAGCTAGCAATTCTATGATTCTATCTATAAAGACCAGTAAAATTATGAAACTAAAAAAAATTGAGTAATATAGAGACACAATTATGGGCCTGAAAATAAATTAGAACCCTAAACCCTAAAAAAAATTAAATTAAAATTAAAATTACCAGGAGGTGTCGGTAGCGGATTTCTTGACGGCGAGGCTAGACCAAGCGAGGACCTTGCCGGAGTTGAGGTGCTTGATTTGGACGGGCGTTGCGACAATGCCGATGAGTTGCACGGAGTTACAGAGCTCCTTCTTCCACTCAATCTCCGAGGGTTTGGGGTACTGTGGGCCCACAAATTGGTCGTAGCTGCCGTTGTGGTTATTGTAATCGTTTGAACTTTTGAGAAGGAGATTGAAACCCAATCGTGTTGTTGGAGAGGAGAAGAGACGAACAGAGGATAAAGAGGCGAGAGGGGTATGTGTTAGTGGGCTTTTGAGGGTACACAAAGGAATGTTCCTTGTTAGCGTTAGTATTTGGTTCAACACCATCTTCTTCTTCTTGTTTTCTCTCTATGCTCTCTCTCCTCTCTCTGTGTGCGCTCGCGAAGCAGGGCAAAGTATGAGACTGTGCGCAGGAGTGGGTCGGAACCTTTGAATTGGTTGGGTTGGATTATAGAAATATCGGGCTGTGGGTTGGACCTTTTGAATTAGGGTCGGGTTGAACTATAATGCAAATATCGAGCAAAAGGACGGATTTGTACCGGATCAAATATAGATGGTAAGGCGTCAAATATGTGTTGGGTACTAATCATATTGGACTGTTTTTAAACTGTTAAATGTAAGTTGCGCACTCAGATTGAACCTTTGATAGTGCCACCCTTAGCAGAGTCTAGAGGGTTTTCTCCTTCAATCGCCGGCAGTTGAGCAAGTAGATTTGGTTTTTTCTTCTCTTGGTGTGGCCGCGGGGGGGGGGGGGGGGGGGGGGGGGGGGGGGTATCCCTTTACTTGGCGAAATAACCGAGATCCGGGTAAGCTTATTCAGGCTCGTCTTGACCGTGCTTTGTGCTCCAGCCAATGGCTTCAGTTCTTTCCTCGTAGTATGCTTCACCATATCACGGTTCATGGTTCTGATCATAATGCCCTAATGCTTTGCCTTAATGATTCCATTTCGCACTCCAAGCGTAGCTTCCAGTTTGATGCTCGCTGGGTGAAGGAAGCAGCTTTGTCGGTTACTATTTCAAAAGCGTGGGATTCTCCTTGTCCCGGTCCTCCTTTGTTCACTATTAATCAAAAACTTTCTCATTGTAAAACAGGTCTTCAACGGTGGCGTATGGGCAAAATTAAGAACTCTCAGTCTGAGATTAAACAGTTAGAGGCTAGCTTGAAATTTCTTAAAAAACAAGAATCAGGGTATGATTGGGCTCAATGTTTTCAGTTGGAACAACAATTAGGTCAGGCTTGGCGAGATGAAGAACTTTTCTGGCTCCCAAAAATCTAGAATTGATTGGTTATCTCATGGTGATAAAAATACCAAGTTCTTTCATCAGAAAGCCAAAATTCGGCGTCGGAAAAATGAGATTTATGGGTTGTTCGACTTTGCGGGTTAGTGGCAAGATTCTAAGGATGATATTCGGAGGGTGGCAGAGGATTACTTCTTTAATCTTTTTCGATCCATTCCTAACTCGGCTGATACTGAGTTCTAGAGTTTCATTAACCCCAAAGTTTCTCCGGAAATGAACAGGGAGCTTCTCAAAGAGGGCACGACAGAAGAGCTTCATACTGCGCTGGCCAGTATAGGTCCGTTTAAGGCTTCTGCCCTGGACGGTTTCACTTCTATGTTTTTTCAGTAGAATTGGGAGTTACTTAAAGGGGATCTTTTACAAGGTTTTAATTCTTTTCTCCAAGGGGTTGTCTTTCCAAAAGGTTTTAACTCCACTAATCTGGTGCTTATTCCTAAGGTGGCTCATCCTACTGCCATGTCAAATTTTTGCCCTATATTTCTGTGTAATGTGTCCAACAAATTTTTTTCGAAAGCATTGGCGAATCATCTTAAGCCCTTTCTGCATCTCCTTATCTCGGATACCCAGAGTGCTTTCGTTCCTAATCGCCTCATCCACGATAATATTGTCTTAGCCCATGAGCTTATGCATATTCTTAACCGGAAAAAGTTTGGTGATTTGCACTTTTTAGCTTTGAAATTGGATATGGCAAAGGCCTATGACCGAGTGAGTTGGTCTTTTCTGGGCAAATTTATGCATCATTTGGGCTTTGATCAGCGTTGGGTGAATTTGATGCTGGAGTGCATTTGTTCTGTGTCTTACTCGGTGCTGATTAACGGGGAGCGGGGCGATAGTTTCTCTCTATTCCGTGGCCTTCGTCAAGGGGATCCGCTTTCTCCTTTTCTTTTTTTGTTTTGCACAGAGGGCTTCTCTATTCTTTTCCAAGAAGCTGAGAGAAAGAAGTAGTTTTCGGGGCTGCGCATTGGACGGGGTTGCTCTCCAATCTCTCACCTTTTGTTCACCGATGATGCCCTTATTTTTTGTAGGGCTAGGGATTCGAAGGTTGGGCGAGTTAAGGCCGTTCTCAATAGATACGAGTCACTCTCTGGCCAACTCATGAGTTTGGAGAAATCCTGCATTTTTTTTTTTCTCTCTGAATACCCTGCCATCTCAGCAAGTGTTTTGTAGACAAACTTTGGCTCTTCAGAATGTTGACTGGAATAATCAATACTTGGGTCTTCCTTCACTTTTGGGTTGGTCTAAAGTGGGAGCTTTAAACTTCATTCAAGATCGCGTCTCCAAGAAAATTGATTCTCTCAAAGGATCTTTGTTGTCCAAGGCCGGACGCGAAATTTTGGTGAAAACGGTCCTATCAGCTCTCCCCACTTTCTCCATGCAATGCTTTAGGTTGCCAAAAAAAAAAAGTGAAAAATTGACAAGTTCTTTCTCTAATTTCTGGTGGAGTGGGATGGAAAAATCTCATAAAATCAAATGGATAAGTTGGGTGAATTTGTGTAAGTCTAAGGCAGGAGGGGGTCTCGGTTTTAAGAATATTAAGGCTTTCAACTTAGCTCTACTTGCTAAGATTGCTTGGCGCTTGGAAGTTGGAGATGATTCGTTATTATATTGGTCTTTTAAACAAAAATATTTCAAGCTCTGTAACTTTGTGGATGCGCCTAATCGCCGGAGTTCTTCATGGGTTTGGAAAAGTATTCTGTCTTCAAAGGAAGTGATTAAGTGAGGCATGCGTTGGCGTATTAGTGATGGGTCTCGCGTCAATTGTTGGAAGGATAATTGGCTTCCGGACTCTCGCATTTTTTCTGTTCTATCCAAGCCCAAGGGGGCTTTTTTCTCTTCGGTTTCTGCTCTTATTCTTCCTAATGGCCACCAATGGAACTATGAGATGATTGGTCATTTTTTTAACCCTCGTGATCGTGACCTGATTTTGCAAATCCCTTTGAGCTTATCTGGTGGTCTTGACTGTAAAATTTGGGGTGTATCCACAAATGGAAAGTTTTCTATTAAAAGCGCGTATTTTGTGGTTGAATTTTTACTTTGCAGAGACGCTTGTTCTCCTCCATCGGCAGAGAGTAGTTTTGATGCTAGTTGGGGTCTTTTGTGGCGTCAGGTTTGGCGGGTCAGGGCATATCGGAAAGTTCAGTTCTTTTTATGGCAGTCCCTGCATAATCGCATTCCGGTGAATGAGTCTCTTTCGCGGCGGGGGGTTGGTGAGGTTTCGATTTGTCCGGTGTGTGAGGATGCCATTGAAACAGTTGATCACCTTCTTTGTACATGCCCATTTGCTTGTTTGGTTTGGAAATTATGCCCTTTGCGTCTTGATTTTTTTGGGTTGCAACCTTCCTTTTGGGCGATGAGATGGGCCTCTCTATATGAGGTATGGTCAGCCTCTTCGACTATGGCGGAATGTTTGAGCTTGGCAGCGTTTGTGTGCTGGTCCATTTGGAAGTGTCGCTATGATTTGGTTTTCAACAAAAAGCGATGGGATCCTTATGATGCTAGTTTGTTTGCCTTCAATGCTTTTCAAGAATTCCATGAGCAAGCTCGCCTTTCTATTAGGATGTCTTTTCCTTTGACTGGAGCGGTCTCCCCGCCTGTTGGGTGCTGGTCTTTGCTGGATGTACATTGTTTCAAGCTTAATTTTGATGCCTCATTTAGTTTTTCCCGTCGCACTTGTGGTGGGGGTTTGATTTTACGAGATCACAGAGGTTGTCCGGTTAAGGTGGTGTCGTTTTTCTTGGCTAATGTCTGTAGCCCAACCATGGCAGAAGGCTTAGTGTTGCGCGAAGCTTTGGCGTTGGTTAAAAGATGGGGTTATCAAAAGGTGGTGGTCGAAGGTGATAGCCTGCCCATTATGCGGTTGGAAGCTTCAACAGATGCCCTTTGTGTTGTTTTCAGTGACATTCTCTCTTTGCTTTGCTTAAGGACTGTGTTGGTTCTTCACTTGCATGGGTCCCTCGTGGTTGTAATTTGGTTGCTCATTTAGTGAGCAAGCATGCTTTTAAAGCCGAATGTGGCGATTTAGAGTGGAACATATGGCCTTCATGGTTGTTAAATGTTTTTTCCTCAGATTGTGTAATTCCTTCTGTTTTATGTTAGTCTGGTTCGTTTTGGTTAAAAAAAAATAATAATAAAATAAAAAAATGTAAGTTGCATTTTATTCTATTCCATTTTTACACATTAAACGCATCATTAATTTATTAACTGTTGCCTTAATAATCAAACTCGAGTTCAAGATATATATATATATATATATATATATATATATATATATATATGGGATAATATCAGTTACCTTTCTCAAGGTTAGACCCAATTACAAGTAATATTCTTAACGCTTCAAAAGTTACAAAAATCTCCTTTTAATGTGACCGGAGTTAAATTCTAATAAAATTCTTGTTAAATAACTAAAATACCCTCATTATATAAAATAAAAAATTAACAAAACTCGAAATTACAAAATTATTCACCAAACTCTATACCTACACAATCTTTTTCCCCTCTCCAACATATATTCACTTTCTCTTTTCTATATCATCACAACCACAATCAGCGTTTATCAATTTAAAAGAATTTAGGTGCGAGGCCCACTTAAAGGGTTGAACATAGAGAACCTTTGGCATAACTTTTCAGAGATATTGCTTTATCCTTAAATTATACGGAATTAGATTTTCATAACTCCACCACCCCATATGGAGAACACCGAACTTTTCAATAGTATAATTCACAATACACACACACACACACACACACATAACTGAATCATTCATAAACCCTCTTCTAATCTTCTCTTTTCTCTCTATTTAACACTTTTTCCTTTCTACACATCTGAAACTTCGCTCTCTAGCCAAAGAATGACTGATTTAGTCAAGTCAGACTCATCACTAACTGGGTGCAGACCACACCATTCACAATGGGTAATTTACCAGAGATCGAGTCTAGTACCAAATCGTTCTCACCACCACCACCAAACTCACATTCTTCATCATTTGGGCTATCTAAATCCAACCAAAACTCAGACCCAAAAGAGCCCAAATTAGAAACAAGGCATGAGGGGAAAGAGAGCAAACATGGTTTATACATAGGGGTCCAAATGTGGACATGGGGCAAATGAAAATTTGAGATCCA